ATATTGACTGAATCGATTTGCTAATTCATAACTCGAAGAATGAGTTGGAAAAGAGTTTGGTTTGCACTTGCCGCTTTAATTCCATTTCTAATGGTCTCGCTACTTTGTTGTTTCATTGTATTTCATTAATATAATAGTCTGTATTTTTTTGCTGATATTTTTGTTTCGCATTGCTGAACTATGAACGTCCTAATCTAAACTTACCCGATTTGGGATACGTTACAACAAAACAATCGTCAGATCGAACTTGGAGAATCTCAGGATTCTCGACAACATCTCGGCGTATACAGTCTGAATATAACCGATCCATATGACGCCATTCCCCTGGAAGAGTATAGCTATCGTTTTCGCCAACTGAAGGTCGAATATTGCAGCCATGTTGGTTGAAAAGCGGTATGATGTCCATGTCATGTGATTAATGCTTAAATCACAGAGAGCCAATGAACTATAGCCAACTGCACGCAGTCTCTATGAGCGGGGGGGGGGGGTATCGGCTGGTATCTAGTGTGAGAAATATTTCTTACACTAGGCTCCCTGTGACCCAGTGATTAAATCTCACCCGATTGTTGAGCCCGACACTAGGGACACGCTGAATACTAAATCTGGGGTAAAAGTTGTAATGTAGTGTGATGCAAATTAATGTGTATGTTACTTGATAGGAACAAGGTGGACATTGGAAATGACTCAGCTGGTCATGAATGCTGGGGTCACGTCAATCCCCGTCTCAACAAAACAACACGACATATTTCTATTTATGGAATTGAAAGTCGATAAGAAGTACGTATAACACCATCAGAGGGCGACTGTCATTCATACATTTACTTTCTAAATTACTAGTAGTAGAATTTTGAATTATTAAAATTGTCCTGTGTAAAATAGATAAAATTAAAATAAACATATGGGAGAAGCCATTTTTATCCTAAGCACACGGCGTGGTGTACACTTTACAATTCTGACCGCTGTTATCTATACCCTCTCGATTTCCGAATTTACGTACCCCCATATCGCTACCATAAAAAATAGTTGGCACAATGATTGCATCAAACAAATTAAATGCACTAACCAATGGCATACTACCAAGTTTCTTACAGTATGTAAATATATTTGGTTCATTGTAAATTTGTTTTTAGAGGGCGGTAAAATAATATGCATACAGTAGCAGTTTAGCAACGGTCTCAATAGACTTCAATGACTACAACTCCTTTTATGAACCCACTAAAAATATAGTAAATTTTCTGAGACATAAAAAAGTGTAAAAAAAATATGTTTGCAATTTCATTTTCTACCATGCTAAATTCAAACGTATCGCTGCAAAAACTAAAAAAATATTGATCTAACTGTATTTTAGTGTGTCTGCCTAATTCAACATTATGATTATGGCCGAAACAGCGAAAACTCGTCAGTATATATTTTAGTCTATAATTGCTTGCCAATAAATCTCCCAGGTTATAATACTACTTTGATTTTTCCGAAAGTACACAGCCTGGATGATTGTGAAATTGAAGCATGCCACTATTTTTTTTATTCTTTGAGTAAATATCCCTAAGAAATTTGCAGTATCTCCAACTTGTTTTCCAAACCAGACAATGCCGAAACCATATTTGAACAGGAGATTTTTATGTGAGTTTCCCGAGCAAGTCTGCCGGTTTTGTCTAATCGTTAAGCATGATTGGGGTTTCAGTAATTTTAACCAATATGAGATACAACGCTTGAAATAACCACAGCACAGTGGCAGCCTTCCACATTCGTCTAACATCGCTACACTGTTTGTACAACTATTAATGCTAAGTACCGGGTAGATATCTGCAAAATTTTATCTATACCCTCTCGATTTCCGAATTTACGCACCCCCATATCGCTACCATAAAAAATAGTTGGCACAATGATTGCATTAAACAAATTAAATGCACTAACCAATGGCATACTACCAAGTTTCTTACAGTATGTAAATATATTTGGTTCATTGTAAATCTGTTTTTAGACGGCGGTTAAATAATATGCATACAGTGGCAGTTTAGCAGCGGTCTCAATAGACTTCAATGACTACAACTCCTTTTATGAACCCACTAAAAATATAGTACATTTTCTGAGACATAAAAAAAAGTGTAAAAAAAACATATGTTTGCAATTTATAATTCATCGCATAGTTTCAGTGCTGATAAATCTTCGGCATATTTCAATGATATGTTCAACCCGTAGCTGTACACTATTGTCCAATAACAAAGGCTGCACGTACTAATACAATAAGTTAACTACATTTGGCTGATACACTAGGAACAAAACAGTATATATGCCATCTTAACTTGAAGATTACAAAACTAATGAACCAATCCACGAAAGTCAGTGTGGTGTTGTCAATCCCGTTCGATCCCCACACTTTACTAATTGAGCGAACATTAGCACAAGACAAACTGCCCTATTCAGGACCACCCCATCATTCAGAGAGTGAATACCATCACATTATTGTTTCAATGTTGTTTTAATATTTAACATTAGGTGCTTGAACGCAATCTTCATTACACCATCGCGAAAAAAAACGAATAAAAGCTTGCCTATTTATAACAACCTGTTTTGGTTGGCTGCTGTTGAGCTGAGACGGCATACATTCACGATTGACATTTAAAGCTCGTTGCCACCTAAATGCTCATTACTATGCATTACTCATTATATTACTCTGATAGTTACCTCACGGAGTCAAGTACTGTTTGTTTATTATGTCCTAGTCTACGATCATAAATCTATTCACTTCCAAAATTTAGGAGGTTCGACCGAACCCCCCGAACCCCCCCAAAAAAACTACGGGCCTGTTCTACAAATGTTCATGAACGGCAAAGGTATGTTTGTATTAAACTTAATTCCGTTTATAGTTGCTCACTCCACCAACGCCTTGGCGCGATGCCAGTATTATTTCATTATGTAGCCTAGAGCATGGAGGTACCCCCATGCTTAGAGTATATGCAGCGTCTTGAAATAACACGTTCTCCGCTTTGGAGCGCTTCTTCAAACCTACGGACTGACGTTGACTACCAGCGATGAACTTACGGCTACCATAACTCATACAGTCAAAACATATAGCACTTCTGGTTAATTAGAGCCTGCATATGTCAAGAAGTCAGCTGCCCAAATTGTACTCGAGCTTCATTTTATATTATTCTGTTCATTTGCATGACAATAAACTTAAAGGGCAGAGGTCGTCGCGTTGCGTCCTGCTCGATATGGGACTCAAAGCGACGCATACAACGCGTGTAAAATACATTGTTGTTTTAAATGAAATTCGAACAAACCACCGCCCTTTAATCAAACCGAAACAAAGAAAAAACTACACGACTGTATAAATGACGTTGCAACACAAACTACAACATAAAGTGTTGTAAATATAATATAATAGAAATGTGATACAAATAATATAGTATAAATATACGTAATAAGTAGCAATTCACAATAAATTTCATCAGTGCGCAACTTAGCCAAAAGAAAAAGCATGATCATCATGATTTGAACACTGCTATTACAAGATTGACAGGAGGTGACACATTTGGTGCGAAATTATTCAAAAATCAGTTTTTTGTCTGTTGCCATTGCAACGGTGGGCCGGGATTTTTTCCCATTTTACCACCCAACTCTAGTGACAGTATGACCTGCCTGCTAATTATGAACAAAATCGACATGGCCAAACAAATCACAGACTTTTATTTTCCCTTGTTTTGCGAACCCGCCGAATGAACAGGAGCCAAAAATGAAATAAAAATTAAATTTTATTTCAGCGTAATTGCTAAAAAAAAAAAATGTTATCTTCATTTTTTTTTCCGCCCGCCGCCTAACAAATCCAAGTTGCATTTTCATGGGAGTATACCGATGTCTCGCGCAGATCTATACTTTGTTCGCGTTGGTTGACAGTGAATCCCGGGCATTGACCTCTATGCGTGCTGCTTGAGACTACTAGGCGAACATGGCGGCGTCGTGGTTTGTGGTGACACGCCGTGACACTCTGTCGTCAAAAACCGAGAAATCCCTCATTAATGCTGAAAATTGTGCCCCAATTGGCGACATTGCCAACCAGGTTATACATGGAATAAAATTTGATTTCATTTCTTCTCTCTGATCAATGATCTCACTTACAATTCTTTGAGAATCACACAAATCTAACGGAAAAAAACAATTAATTTTATTTTTTCCACCCTCCTTACAAAAATTTACTTATAGAAACAAGGAATAAAAAAAGTCTGGCCTTACTGGTGAAAAGATTTCAAATTTCTGGGTAATGAAAAAAGATATAAAAAACAAAACAAATACTATACTATACTAAATAAACAAGTAACTATGTGCCCACACTCAAGCTGAGTAGAATGAGCTATGTCCAATATTTTTAGTCCTAGAATTGTAGGAAATCAGTTATGGGGCTGCTGCCATGGCAACGGTGGGCCAGGATTTTTTCATATTTTACCACTTAACGAGAGTGAATTGAAGGTGTGACCTGTCTGCCAAGTTTGAGCGAAATCGGCCCAGCCAAAAAAAAATTACAGAAGAATTAATACGCGAGGAAACAGAAAATCAAACACACGCAGAGACAAAACGGAACGGATCGACAACATTTGTTTTCTAAAGAAGAAAAAAACGCCCTCTACGAATCATAGAGGAAAGATATAATAGTACCAACGTGCAAATGCATGCACACACGGACTACATATATAACAAATGCCAACCCGTGAAGAGTAACGTGTCACCACTCAGTTATATTGTGTTTCTCTTTTCACTTTTAAAATGGATGATGTATTCAAGCTTGGTCCTGATTACTACCGATCGCCAGGGGAGTGGACGTACGA